AAAAAAAAAAAAAAAACAGATTTAAAAGTGTAAATTAAGTGAATGTGTCCTTCTTACTGTACCTGTGTGGAAGGCAATCATGTAGGCCACTAGTTTGTGGAAAGTAAGGTTTCTGTCCAGCTGACGGGCTGCAGTGCGGCTACAGTACTGTGAACACACACCATTAATGAGGAGACTCAGGCTTTTTCATTTTTGGATAAGTCTTTCACTTTCGCTCTGTTGCTCCTTTCCTGACCTGAATGGATCCGCGCAGGAACGAGAGCAGGTTTCTGCAGACGGGCAGCAGGATCAACAGGCAGTTAAAATTCAGACATGCAGCTGGAGCTCTGGCCCATGAGAGAGCATGCTGAGTGAGAGGGAGAGTGAAAATAAGCCAGAGACACGGGAAAGTTTCATTTCCTATTTTAAGCTCTGAACAACATATTCACTAATGCATTAAAAAACGGTACTTAGAGCTATTATGTAACAATATAGGCCAACATATAAACATTGTACATTTCTAAATTCTGAGTAGAATCTAACAATACACTAGCAGAGTGAAATATACAAATATGAAATTATATTAACAATATAATTTTATATAATTAATACTTGAGTGATATTATATTTAACTCCACAAATTATTCCAATTACAAATTATACAGCATAAATTAAAAAAGCACACTAACATCAATATAATAATTTACAAACAAAAAAAAATACAACACAATCATTATATTTATTTATACATTATTGAATAAATTAATTGTTTAAAATGTATAAATAATTTGACACTTACCCCAAGGATGACTCTAGTATAATAGTATCTTTCAATCAGAAATGCCAAGTAAAAATACACAAAGAGAAACACATTGATGCCAAGCCATACCAGCTGAAAAACAGAATGAAGGGTGTTTGAGACGTTTTGCAGACTGATGAAGTAATTATATAAAGTACAGAGCATCAAAAGTATCTCTGTTCTTCAGTATGTTTAACAAATAAAAAATAATGTGCCAAACCCACCCACACACACACACACACACACACACA